ACAGCAGGTTCAGGTTAATGCATCTTATTGCAAGGATCTGCCAGATGATGAAATATTATGTCATGAAAGGAGACTTAATTCTCTTCTGTATGAGAGACAGCTGTAAACAGCACCAGCAAAGTTCGCTGACCGGCCGGGACTGCAGATGAGTCACTCCTTACATAACAGCCTGCAAAGGCCTGCTTTCAAATAACTGTTAATCTCCTGTCTGACACAAGGGGGCATTGAAACGCTGCGGTGATGCCTGAAGCTGTGCATGCACACACAATTATTTCAGAGCGACTTTTCTGCTCCAGAGAGTCTTGTAGTGGCCATCACTCCCAGTGCACTTTCTTGGACGCTGTTAAGAAAACAGAATCCCTCGCACATGAATGAATGTTACATTTATATAGCGCTTTACAGCATTAGTGATATGAGACGGGAAGGCTTCTGACTAAGTGTTTAGCAGTGCCAGCATCCTGAGCAGTGAACTCAGCAGCGCCCCCTTCAGTGTGCAGCCTCCCGCTTTCTTCCAGGGTACTCCATGTTCGGGGCTGGCCTCACCGTGGGCTTCTCCAACCTCTTCTGTGGCATCTGTGTGGGCATTGTGGGCAGCGGTGCAGCCTTGGCCGACGCCCAGAACGCCAGCCTCTTTGTGAAGATCCTCATCGTGGAGATCTTTGGAAGTGCCATCGGGCTGTTCGGTGTCATCGTGGCCATTCTGCAGGTAACGGCCTCAGAGCACATCACTGCTCAGGCCTCGGCTTCATCTACTTTCAAAGACTAAAATATGGAGCTTGAGGGTTTAAAGGTATTTTACTGGTCATTCTTAATTCCTAAATAATAGCAGTGCTGTTCAAATAGGTTCCATAGATCCATATATATCTGCTTTTAGTGTAGGTCTGGAAATAGCTGTGGTTTTGATGCCGGCATGTTTTCTCTCTTAGACATCTAAAGTCAAAATGGGCGACTAGATGACCAAGAAGAGGGGAAGCAGCAGAATCTTCCTGAGAAGCAGTTTTGGTTTATTGTATTGTGTACATATGAAGTATTTATTTAATGGCTCTTTCTGGCGTATTCATGACTTTGACCCATTGTTCTCCATTGTGTTTGTGAAACTCCAGGCCCCAGTAATCAGGATGTCTTAAAGAAGTGTGACATGCAAGCTTGCAGTTTTTTCAGGCACAGACCAAGTGGATGTGACACTTGATTCTAGTTTAAAAACATACTCCAAAGCAATTAAATTTTAGGGTGCATGGGACCTTGCAGGTGTGAAATGATGTCAGGCTGCTCTGAGCACTGTGGCGGGAGCTGAACGCCAGTGTGTTAGTGTTAAGGCTCCCCTGAAGTTTGAGAAGATTACACTTAGCAAGATGTATACTAAGCAGATACATCACTAAGTGAAAGATTATACATGAGAAATTTATGGTGAAGAGTGATGCCCTGTGTTTTACCTCTGCCTTCCCTGATCTGTCTGTTAATGCACGCAACGTGATGGTAAACACCAGGGCCGTTTCTTTGTGCTGTCGTTGAACCTAGTGTGTAATGTGGTAGTTAGCAGATTAGCCAGCGCTGCGTGTGTAACATCAGGGAGTTTTGGTGGTGTGATGCCAGGCCTTAGCTCTGTTTGTACTGCAGCCTGCAGAGGGCACACTGCCTGACTGCTCTCTTCCATGGATTTTGTTCATTGATGCTGCCCCTCAGCTCCGTTCCACATGGCTTTTTTTTCCCCCTGCTGAGATCCAGCCTGCAGAGGGCACACTGCCTGACTGCAGTTTGATGATCTGTCTCTATTCCCGCTGACATGGAGGGCACGCAGCTGCTTGGTGGTGACGCAGGACACAGAGCACCTTGCCAGTGATGGAAGGTGTGCAAGTGCTTCCTGGGCACAGCCTCTATTTTGGCTGCAAACGTCTCTGACCTCCTGAGACCCAGGCTCACTGGAAGGGCAGCTGTTCTCCTGCCTAGTGTTTGGCGTGTTTTTCCATGGAATGCTTCATACGTGTGCATTTGAGTGCATTTTTTTGTTCATATTGCTGAAGTGCAGGCCTTGTTTTATTGTGGAAACCAACACAGCCGGTTCTGCTCCATTTACCAGTTAAGGAGTCTGTGGCATATATAAACAGCCAGTGCCACACCCAATGTCATGTTTGATCATCAAGCTAGTGGCTGAAAGTGTCCTGATTTTAATTTGCAGTCTTTCTATGCTGGATTTACTGGTGAAACATACCACTTTCTTTCTGGTTAGATACAGGCAGTTGGTTTCCATGAGACCAGCTGTTTTGAACTTTCTGATATGTTGGCCCTGAGATTTGTTGACTGTAATGTGTCATTTGCTCATGTTATAGGTGTAAGTCATGTCAAATTACATGCCTACTTGGGTTTCTTTTCTATTTTTTCTGAACAAACTCTAGCCTGGGCAACTGCCACATATTGACTTGGCAGAGTGAGTGTCTTCAGGTTAAAAGTGTGTGACACCGCCCCCCCCATCCCCACCATGCTCTGCTGTATAGTTAGATTCAGGTGAAATTGTTCCTCAATATCTGTAATGACATTTTAATAAACATATTTGACCAATCATGGTATTCCCTTGCATGTTATCATACTTTTTCTTTGATGAAACTCGTTAATGTAATCGTTCCCCTTAACATAGACCTTAATCTCAATTTTTGTCATGGTGTTTGAAATGTTGATGATGTGAATCTGTTCTTCTGTTTTCCCAGAGATGTGTTAAACTTGATTATTTGTCATTGAAATTCTGTGGAGGAATAAAACATTCAAACATTGAAGTTTGTCTGGTCCTCTAAATGAATCTACTTCAGAAGCTTCTCTTCTTGAGAAATACTTCTTTGAGTATTTGACTATAAAATACTGCTATTAACTTATAAAGTACTGAATGGCCTTGCACCAGAATACCTAAGTGATCTGCTGACCTCATACAACCCCCCGCGCTTGCTTCGTTCT